CTATTCTTCTTTCTTGTGTACTGTAGTCCTGTCCTGTGTTATCAACAACTGTCATTTTGCAGATGTGAATACTTGTATAGACACTGGTTAAATAAAATAATTATAGTAACTAGATGGGTGGCAGCAAACTAAAAATTTGAACAGATTTTCTCAGTTGGTCACCACTATGCACCTATGCCTATGCTTCAGCTTCTTGTTTAAACCTCTAAATTTGGATCCACTTTCTGCCTATAAAATGTCCATGTGCTCTAACAAGGTAGAAAAACAAATCATCAGAATGTGTATTGAGTCTTCTGCTATATTTGTCCACCAGATGTCTCATCATGGGAATTCCACAGATCAGCAGTTTCACTGTTTAGGTTTTCAAGGCATGATGCAGATGCTTCTGAATTTACTATAAACCTACAAGTTTGTGAAGTCATACGAAGAAATAAATGCAAGCTAATGAGCATCCAAGGAGTCTACCATGGATTAATACTGTAAGAAGCAATGAGATATTTTGCAACAATGCCTCTGAAAATTAAGTCTACTGCTGTGTAACAATTACTTTTTTGCAAATGTGCGACATTCAAGTGACAATAATTAAGAATTTAACTTTCGTCAAAATTTTAGGCTAAAATTCACATGCATTTTTCAGCAAATATGTGAATTTTTTTTTATTTTGTAAAATCAAATTATAGCCATTAAAGTTTCAGTATATTTAAATTTTAATTGAAACATTTATAACAATTTTAAGTTACCTACAGTCTAGCCAGATAAAACATAGTTTCAATAATAAAAAAACTATAAAGTTGTGATAAACCAATATAATTTGCTTATATTCCTATCAGTGAATATCAGTCCTACAGTAAAAACAATAATTATCACTTTAATATTCTTGAGACTTTCTTCATCCTATATATTCTGCCAAATATATCCTCCTTCCACTGTCACTAGCACAATGCTACTTTTGTCAACATTTATCTCAAATGTCATTTCTCTGTGAAAGTTTCTTATATTCACATGAACGAAAAATTCACAATTTCTACAGAAGTCCGAACAAGCTTTAAGCACAGTATGCAACCACTACATATTGCCTAGTTTCTACGTAATCTGTCTTGACGATTTAGATTTTAAGCTCCTTAAGGGCAAGGCCCATTTGTACTATCACCATATAACACAGAGTCTGTATGCAGCAGTAATACAGGAAAGAAATCTAAGGGAAACACTCATTTTAAATAAAAAAAATACTCCCAATGAAACAATTTGCATGTTTAAAGAATCAGGAGGAAAAAGGTATCTAATATTCAATTAATGTGAAAGACAACCTATAATCATATATATCATAGTTTTCATCACTCAATCAAATTCAAACTCCAAAATACATGAGGCCTCTCTTCTCTCTTCTTTCCTTTTCTTTCTCTCCCCTTCCTTCTTCTCTCCTCTCCAATCTGCCTTGCCTTGCCTTGCCCTGCCATACCTTGCCCTGCCCTGCCCTGCCCTGCCTTGCCTTGCTTTGCTTTTATGAGACAGAGACAGAGTCTTGGTCTGTCAACCAGGCTGAAGTGAAGTGGTGCCATGGTAGCCCACTGCAGCCTCAAACTTCTGGCCTCAAGAAGTCCTGCTGAGTCAGCCTCCCACAGTGCTGGGATTACGGGTGTGAGCCACCATGCCTGGCCCTAAACTGTCTTTGAAAATCAAATCACTGTGTTTTAAGAATATGAATAATTCTGTAAATTAGGATTTACTTCCCTGAAATATTTTGTATTTCAATTTTAAAAGTCATCAAAAACATGTTGAAATGTGGCTCTGTCATTTAAGAAAAATGATTTTCTGTCTTAGGTAAAAATGCCTTGTGGTACCTCAGCCTCTACTTTAAAAATATCATTATATGTCTCTTAAAACATAGTAGCACTCAAATTGAATGATGAAGAATTAAAGAGAGAGGAAAAAGAAACAACACAGTAACAATTGAAATTCGATGTAAGATTTTATATGAAAAACAAAAAGCTCAGAAATGTTCAAAATGTTTTAAAATGTCACCCCAAAATGCCTTATATTTAACATAAAGAAATGCTTAGCACACAGGTAAGCTACTGACCATTTGGTCAATGCTCGATTTCCTATAATAGAAATACTAGCAAAACCAAGAATCTAACACATCACCACATATATATTTATGTCTTACATCATTGTTTCCTTTTCTTTGACTCACTCACCCCATTTGTGCGAATTTCCTCAGTATCCTCCAGGGTTCATAAAATTGATATAATCCAAGATTTCCTTTCATGCTATAGCTTATTCATTTTCACTGTTCAAACTATATCCTAGAATACATCTATTTTCATATTAAAGCACTTCCGTCCTCAATAGTATTGGGATAAAAATCATTTTAATGATGTCAGTTGAATCATACAATCTCAGATTTATAGAACTTTATATTGCATTCTAGTATTCCACTCTATTGTAAGCAAATTGGAACATCAAAAGTCAGTTTTGGCTTGAAGACAGAATATGTAATTGTCTTCAGTAACTCATTCTTTAGGTTAGGCAACATCTTTTCTAGGCCTTCTATCACAATACAATCTCCTGGTCCATCTAGACTCAAGAGTCTGCCATCTGTGTAGCCACACTAAGAAGAGCCCCAAATTTGCCTTAATGCTCTAATGTTGCCATAGTGAATTTATTAATTTTTGAACAAGGGGCAGGCATTTTTATTTTCACTGGACACCACTAATTGAGAAGCTGCTCCTCTCTTTGGGAGTGATAAAACATTAAGTCACTATAAATTTATCAATCAAATAACTTTAAGTCAGTAAGGAATTAAAACAAGGGTAGTAAGCGGAACAGTAAATGTCTATATTACAGAGACAATGGGAGGAAGGAAAACCTAAAATGAAAGGCGTATGTATAAATTAGTCATTTTCTTAGTTAATAATTATCTATTTAGTACCTTCTATGTGCCATGTATTGTTTCGGCTATTGAGATTATAGCAATGATTGATGCAGACAAAATCTCAGACTTCGTGGAGCTTCCACTCCTTGGAGAAACCACATCTATCTATAGTAAGTGGGGGCTTTCCAGGGGCAGTGTTTTGGAAGAAGACAATATATTTCTTTTATCTCCAATAGTGCTACCTTTGGTAGCCAGGAAAATTAATGATAGTTAAGAAAATTTAATGATTACAACCAATCTCTTATTACTAATCTTGAATTTTCTTTAAAGGATTGTTGGACATTTCACAAATCAATGTTGGTCATCTTTACTATTTTGTCCCATATAACACATAGTTTCAAACAGGCCATATAACTAGTATATTTAAAAATAAATGTTAGGGCTCGTTTTGTGAGCCCTATATATAATGCTGCTTTCTTCTCTCCATTCTGTGCTCCATCTTTTGTCTAAGTTTAATGGTATATAAACTGTGCTCCCATCAGAGGAGTTCTTTTAGATAAAAGCATTGATTCTTTGGATCTGAGCTTTGTGTCACTGGGTCTGCAAAGGAAACAAGAAAAAACAAAAAACAAAAAACAGCAAAACCCAACCAAACAAAGCAATGGTTTTGATTAAGTCTAGAACATTTCTGGAAACTATCCCTCAGAAAATGAGGACAAATTATCCTGGATCTACAAAATTGCTCTTACTCTCTTACAGGAAATATCATATTGGAATGTCATATAGTACAGTTTACAGTGTCACCTAGCACACTGAGGTGAAGAATCAATGGATATTTGTTGATTGAATGAATACATAAACAAGTAATAACTGACTGTGTGTATCAACAGTTTTCCCTCAGAGATCCTAAAAGAATCCCTCTCTTAGTGCTAGCACCAATGTTTAAATGTCAGTTAGATTAAAAAAAAAAAAAAAAAAAGTTTTTTTTTTTGTCTCTAGCTTTTTTTTAAGCTAGAAAAGAAATAATGTCCAAACACAAGTAATTTTCATCACCCTAATTTCCTTTTGTTTTAGTTATAGATGAAAAAAATTAAATATCTTTTAGGAACAAAGCACAATTGTACAAAGTTACCACACTTTTGTCAGCCTGAATCATAAGCTTCTATTCTTAAGAAGTAAAATCAATCCAGTGTTCACTGCAATTTGGAACCATGAGAAGGCACAAAATTATAGGTGAATACCTCAATGTACAAGATACAAAATGCTGCCTGATCATGTGTCTACTACATTTGTCTCTATGTTTTCAACACATATTATTTATCTTGAATGATGTAAAAATCTTCCATTAAAATTCAATTTGGTAACAAGTTGGTAAAACAAATACAGCTACTTTGGAACTCTGGATGTGTGCTGATTGTGCCTCACAGAATCACAGGGCTTTAAAGCATCTGAATGAACCCTCCTCCAACAAATCCCTGTAATTTTCCTTGTCAACAGATGTACATTTAATCAAGAAAAAACTAATAACATGTTTTCGTTTTTAACTTTAAAAGAAACAATTTCACTCCAATATATTTTCGTACTTAACTATTTTCATTATGAACAGATTTCACCATATGATTCTGCAAAAAAAAAATCACATCTGACTACAACTTTAACATATCAATTTTTGTTAGTGTAGGGTACATTTCTTACATATTTTGCATCTGAACAGTCTTAAATTATCTCAGTATTTTCTTCTTAGCACTATGCATTTATGCTTTCTTTAAAATGTCTGAAAATTGTCTTAACTCTAGACATTTGCTGTTTAACTTTATTAATATAATTTTAGATTCTGCAGAGTATTTTGATGAAATACTAGTATTATTAGAAGCCTATATCTATCTTAGTCAATGCTATTAATTTTATTTGGATAATTTCTGTAAAATCTCATGTAAATCCAAATCAAAACAGATGAAAACGGTATTTCAGAACCTAATATTCATTGAGCATTCAGAACATTATAATTTTGTTTTTAGGAAATGTAAAAGGGAAAAAATATTGTTAACTAAAAACTACTTGATCTGCTAAACTTCAATTATTCTAAATGTGAACATCTTTTACATCATAAATATATGCCTCTTACCTGTGCTGCTGGATATATTAACATCGATACTGATATCAGATATTCCTCCTCCCTTCAGAGATGCTACACATGTGTACGTTCCAAAATCCGTGAATTTTAAATCAATGATGTCCAAGTTTGTTGTTCCTGGAGAGACATCAGGATCAGTCTGTGTAATGACCATCCGCTCAGAACTTCTTAATGGACGACCATTTTTAAACCAACTAAATGTTAGCTCCTCAGAAGGAACAGCTTCTACTTGGCAAGATATTTTCACCTCACGGCCAATCTGGATGTTGTCATCTTTGTGATAAGGATCTGGTGTGATCCAAAATCGTCCTTTTTTTAATGCTACAACATAAAAATTCCATAAGGGGTTAGTGTTACTTTCATAATTTTAAGGATTCATTCACTCTAGATAATCATCTCTGAGTTGAAATAAAGTAAAACCAAACTTGGTTATAGCCAAGTAGTGTGCATATCAGTAAACTTCATTTAGGTAATCCAGAAATAATCTTAAAAAATCTAAGTCAATTAAAGACTGTGAACACTGATTTTTATAAATTTGGTAATATTTTCCAGTGATATCAAAAGTAATGCCTTAGGTCTATGTGCAATTATACTTAAATATTGACATTTAATTTTGAACAAATAACAGATTCTATGTAGTCATAGGGTATTAAAATTAAAAGTAAGAATATGGGTCTCATTTAATCTAATTATTTCCCTATGTCATTACTTAATTATCATATAATTTTCCAAACAACTCAAAAATTACACAAAGGACATATGAACATTCTCCTAAGTTGTATCTACATGTTGACCAACACTAGTTTGGTAACATTTGAGTCCATTCACATTCATGAAACATTTTCATATATTGAAATAATCTGAACTGGGAAAAAAAAAAAAACCTGGGGCAAAAAGCATTTTCGAAACATTTTCTATGAACTTTTCTATTCTACCATACATAGATGTTTCCAGTTAAAACTGTTTGTTGGCTCTCTAATGCAGATGACCAAAAGAACCTCTCCACAGATAGCTTAGAAAACAGGTTTGTATGCTAACAGAAGTGTTTTCTAGGTCTAAATGCAGTGCTGTTTTCACAAGAGATCAGTAGTAATGATTACCAGAAGGCTGCCAAGGGAGCATCTATAGGCTTTCTAGTAAGGGCCTGAACGTTGAATGATACTACAGTACTCAATATGGAAAAGCATTTTCTCTCTATTGTGATAGTGATTCTCTTACGCACACATTTTTCTTTTTTTTCATCATCTTCCCCATTTCCCTCTCCTTTAACATGACTATCCCCACATGACAAAATGTAGCATAAACAGTGAAACACAATTATCAGGATAAAATATTGGTCATTCACTTTTACCATGAAGCCCAAATATGTAATGATATTGTCAAAAATGCCATGAATTTAGTGGACCCGCAGACACTAGAAGGCTGCTAACAGCATTCTGGATAGCCCCTCTTTAGTTTAACCACATTTTTGTCAGTTAGTCCAATAAAAACCAGTGAGAACTATGAAAATCTATAAAATCATGCAGAATGAACTAGAGATGAATATACTTTTAAATGTGAAAAACTTTTCTAGGTTTTAAAACTCTTTAGCCTCAAATATTTTCATGTGCTTTCTTGTTGACATCTTAATAAGATATAAATAGATATCAAAAACAATGTTTGTATCTTTCTTTTTCATTTATTTGAAGGGCTCCTCCTCAAGACTAGCCACTAGGCTGGGTTCTGACTACAGGACATGAACGAAATAGACATAACCATGGCCCTCATGTACTGCAGCTTGCAGATTCATAGATTAGAGGCCAACTTATTCACACAACACTTATGATACTTATGTCTAGAGAAACCACAGACATATATAGCGATGAAATGTTTTATATGCCTGAAGAAGTTTCAATCTCAGAGGACAGTCTCTCTAAATTATTGTTTAGAAAATGCACTAAGCTTTAATCTTAATGAAAACATGAGAAGACAAATACTTAAATCACATTCTCATACTGTCATTTGTTACATTTTTTCATAATAAAATGCAACTTATGAATCTTATTTACCCCTAACCATATCTTTATCAGTAAGTTGCTCTAGGGTGAAATTAGGATACATTTTGGTATTCTGTTACCTAGAATCATATATTTATATTTTCACAGGCACTGAAGTATGACTTTGCATTGTATTAGGGAAGGGAAATGTGATGAAAACGTCCGTATCTGGCTGCTATATTTGGTATATAATAATCGTGCTCATACAATGCCAACATAATGGAAGTTTTACAGTAGAAAGCAAATTATATGAGTAAAAACATATTTTCTTTTAAAAACAGATGTCAAATTTAATATGTCAGGAGCATTTACTTTTATTAACATTGTAACACTTAAAGGAGAGTTTCCTTTCATTTGCTAAGAATTTTCTTTATCCTATTTTTAAAGAGAAATTTTAGTCATAATTTTGAAAGTTTTACTATTGCATATATTAATTTATTAATAACCATATGATTAATATCAGGGTTCATATGGGATACCTTTTAGAATAGTTTTCACTACAAAGATATATGTTGGTTGCATATGTAAACACACACAAAACTGAGATGTTTAAGTGGTTGTCATTTATTTACCATGCAGCTATTGTTTTCTAGTTCTGTGCTCTGCATAGTGACATATTAAAGTGACATTGAGAGAACTGCAAACTTATCAAATTAGATTTAATGTACTAAACAACTCAAAAAACACTGATAAAAATATGAAATCAATATCTGTATTATGTGTTATAGAATATAACAACTTTAAAACCCAAAGTAAAAATATTAGAGATTATAAACCCATAATCAATTAATACCTAAGATCATATATAATATGCAATTATACAAATTAATAAAAAGCAATATAATCAAGAACGCTTTTAAGAATGAACTCGCAGCAAAAACATTGGTTAATCTTAGTATCAGATAATTCTATGATTTGGCCTAAGTCAATTGTACTAGTCTTCCAAATGACACAGAATCTAAAGTGAAAAAGAGAAACAAGTCTGCTAAGTGAGTTCAAGTTAAGAAATATCAGAATAACTAACATAGATTATTTAATAGAGAGTCATTTCTCTGTTTATGTTGTCCCTCTAACAAAATAACGTAACTGATTTTGCATACAAAAAAGAAATGTTCAGATAAAAGATGTGTGTGTGTACTTATATATAGTAACAGAGGACAGAAAAATTTTGTTTTCTTATTAAGCTCAGAAAACTAAGAGCATAGCTTTGTAAACTAGGTCTGGGTACATTGAGAACTTGCAACGTAATTCCAGTTTTTCATGTCTATGTAGTCCAAGATGGGCAATCTCATTTTTATGGATCAAGCACATCATTTATAAAAATAGAAGGTGATAGAGTTAGGCTCCCTTAGAGACACATTGTGAGAAATAGCTTATTAACAATTGTGCCTGAGTTTTGAAAATATAGAGTGTTTAATATAGTTAATCAACTGGGCAGCAGGTTCCTTCGTTTATAATTAAACACTCCCTTTTTCAGTGAACAGTTTATAGTAGTTCACGTAATGTTAATTTAAAGCCATTTCCTGCTACCAGTTAAGATTTCAAACTTTTAAAATCAATCTGTGATTAGTACTGGAGTATAACAGAGGTCCAATAGACTTAACGAGACTCTATAGAACTAAAGAAATTCTATGGAAAAAGGATCAGAGAAATCCCTTTCCCCAGATGCAATTTCTCAGTCTGAATATTGAAAATCCCCTAACACCAGCCTGAGAGAACATTAGATTTGGCTTAATGTATCATAAATCGTGATGGATGAACCTTAAAAGGTACTTGTTTAGTCTGGCAGTGCATGTAAAAGATTGGCATCAAGTTGAACCTCTGTTCTGGATAATCAGTTTGGAAACACTGCAATGTAACTATAGCCTCCCTTTTTTTAATATTGTGAATTGAATGCAGGGTTGGCTCTACATTCATTTTTTAGCAGTTTACTTGCAAGGACATTCTAATTGCACTTACTCAAATCCTTCTTCTTCAGGCTATACAGATGTGCTCTGTAAATGGAGTGAAACCCATGTACTGAAACGGAGGCCACTCACTGCAAAAATTTGGGTAGGGTTTGTTGCTGACCTTCCCTAGAAATAAGAGTCCATGCCTGTGAATGTGAATGCCAATGGTTCAATGGAAGACTTCAGTTATGTAAAACTAGATTACATCTTGAACTTACGCTTGAAAGAGGGAACACTGCCTTCAGAGAAGTCTAGGCTTGTGGCTTCCACAAAGAGGAGGCTGAGAGATTGTATCTTGACTGTAGTTATAGATTTAAAATTATAACGTACACTGTTTTGTTGGTCAAATGTTCCATAAAGTATGTAATACATAGTAATTCAATAATAAACTAAAATTTATTGACAGAACAAAAAAAGACAACAGTCTTATACTTAATGTGAAAAACGTCTCTTTGGAGATAATAAATATGAGGTGTCAGCTTTTAAGCTTCTGTTAAGTATCTATTTCAGAAGAATGATAAGATACAGAATGACCACTGATCACCATTTCAGGTTGATAAATTGCTGAAAAGAGTGTCTTAATCGATTATGTTTTATAATCAGGCTGTAGGATTCTGGACAACCTGAAGAACTGACAAAACCTTGTTGAGATCTGGATATAGAAACCATTAATAGTGTAATCAGATAAATAAAAATCAATTTCCTATTTATTTATTCTTTGTTGAAGAAAATAAAAATATCTATGTGTGAAAGCTGAAGTATTTTCCTGACCCACCGAATGCCAATTAAATAAGCAGTTGGAAATAGGTTACATCAGCAAAGCAACTTAAAAGATAGTAAATGATAGTACGTATAATCTGTCCTACTATACCTAGCAATTTATCTTTCTCCTCAATAGGACTGTGAACACCTGGGGTTGGAGTGGGTACACCTTACTCTTCTTCATAGCCCCCAAATCCTGAATATGGTGCTTTGTTACAGTTGGTACTCAATACACTTTATTGAATTTAATTATAATTGACATTTCAAAGCATTAACTTTATAGACGCCAACAGTATGATAAGTTCCTGTTAATTTTGATTTTGTGTTGCAGTCGTGTGTTCTGAGATGCATCTGGGGAAATAGAATAGGAAAAAGAACAGATCTGATGTCCTCAAGGATTCAGTGATTTTGTTGTGGGAACAGAATAACACTTGATGAACAAACAAACAGCATCAACATGGGAATATATGTGAGGAAGAGAATTCTGTACACAACACAAGAAACCTCATTCTAGCACATCCACTGACTAGTTAGCTATGTGTATGGGACATCAACTATCAAACAACTCTCTTTA